AAGCATGGGTCCCACATGTAATGCACATGGGTGGGGCTCGCCCCATCCATATGAGATGGAAGAGCCTTATCTTTGAAGCACAAAATATTTTTTTCACGGTCTGGGCAGTTCTTGCATTCAACTGGTTATTAGTTTCATCAAAACATCATTTTACTAGATGCCATGAAAAAAACACACATTCTGCCAAAAGCACGGAGGGTGAATGCATTTCCTACCCGAAATTAAAAGGAGAATAGATTAATACCTTTCGTTTTATTGAACAAAATTTGCAGTCTGAGGCAGATGGGGGAAGAATCTGATTAACAATAAGTCGATTCACAGGAACACTTTCCTTCTTCAAAGAGGCATGCAACCTAGATGACTCACTGACTGCCATCACCTTGTGCAAGAACAAGAAAAAAAAAGTGTGAACAATCGATGAGAAGCAAATTTTTCATCCAACATTGAACATATTTAGCCAACTTCCAAGCAAATGATGCTCGCTAGGAAGGAAAAAAGAGGAAATATAATATGCAGGGATCCATCTTTTTACAAGATTAAATTCTACATTGTAGAATATAAATCAAGTAAACAGATCTCTATCAAAGTGAACTGATAACATATTAAATTACAGCATAAAGGAAAACAACATTTACACAAAAATCACAAACATCCAGTATCAAACCACATTTTCAAAGATCTTACCGTGGGTATTGTTACTATGACAAACTCTGTGGAATCAGTATCGCGGAAAAGCTCACGCACTTTAATCATCCTCTCTCTGAGTCGCTCTAATTTGTCAGCCTGCATTGAAGTTTTACAATTAAAAGGTTAGCATACTTGTCTAGGAAGCAGAGTATAAAAACAGCTCAAAGTATCAGACTTACTGCTCCCAGTTGAGGTTGCTCTTGCCCAAAGACAGATTTGATAGCTGAGGTGGCTGAAGATATCTTCTGTTTAAGCTGTATAACAGAGAATGTTAACTATTTGCAAATTAAAAGAACAAGCAATTAGTAGCAAACATGTCTACACAGGTAAGAATGCTAAAATTCATTTGAGATTAGCCATATATTTTGTCTTTACAGTTACAGACTCGCCATATGTTTACGAGGAAAACAATATGCTACAATCAAGTGATCCCAGAACCAGGGGAAATTGTCTTCCACGTTCCAATTGCCTGTTCTTATTTATTTTTGCCTGGATATTATGAGCGTCAACACCAACAAAGTTAGCTTACTTCAGTTATCAGAGCTTTTATCCATAAGTTACATCAAGCATTTACACCTTTAAACTTCTAAGAAAATAAACTACGAAAAAAATGGCATACATTTTTCCAGCAACAATACTTCTCAAGCAATTAGTCAAGAAACAAAGTCAATATTATGTTGTTGGGAACTAGAATCAAGTAACTAGAACATTGGGTATAGCAGTCATTCTATTGAAACTTCAAAGGAGTGCAGCAGACTTCAACTGCTCATAAATTATCTCCTAATTTAAATTTCAAGTCATATGATGCATTTAATCCAAGAAGAAAAATACATGCACACATTTCTATAGTTATTCATTCTAAGTTGCCATCATTACCTTCAATATCTTGCCAATTGATGCATCCAAAAAGTCTGGCAAGGACAAAAGCCGCAATGTGTGACCCTGTTAACAATATCCCATCATAGTGAGCTAATTCCAACATTTTTAAAAATAAAAAATAAAATTTGAGGTGACAAAAACAGCATCAATATTTTCTCACCGTGGGTGCAGTATCAAAAACAATACGAGTAAACATGCTATATTCCGGGGATTCAAGAAATTGTATCACCTGGAAAGAGGATTGTACATTAATAGAAGAGCAAAAAAGATTTTGAGCATGTTGGCAAGCCAAAAAAGACATACCTTGGAAATTGCAATAGCTTCATCCAAACCAGGAGGAGGTGTGTCTAGTAATTCTCCCAGTTTTAACTCTCCTAACTTCAACCATAGAAATAATGATAATGATAAAACACCAAGGTTAAAGAGAGAATCAAGGATCACCATAAAGCATAAGTGAATCTATATTGGTACATATGATCCTTTTATATGTGTAAACCCTATACTAATTAGATCATGATGCGAGAATATAAGTGTGCATGCACATGTGTGCAACATATCAGTTAGGCCTTTAAAGGATTAAGCACATCCATATCACATAAAAATAGGATCAAAAGATGATAACTACAACTCAAGTTGCAACACCAATATCTCCAAATAAAAGCTTTACCTGTTCTGCAAGCATCCCAAGGCCCATACCATCCATGAAATCTTTGACTCCTGTTCCACCATTTTGCTGATTTACATTACGGAATTCTTCCCTTGCCTTCTCAGGGTTTATCTGTGGTATAGCTATTAGTTTAACCATGTACACTAAGTATAAGATTACAAAACCATACTAAGAAAAACTAACAACCAATTAATCATTGTAATGGTCATCTCATAAAACAAGTACCGCAAACAAAGAATTACGTGAAGAAAACTCATATACAAAGCTAACTCCACACCTCAAGAGCAAAAAGCGGAGCTTCGGGCCCATCAACTGGTACAAGTGTCCCTCCAGTCAAATCCTAGGACAAGATAACATATACAATTATGATATATTTGTGCACATACACGCATACATACAACCAGTTTCTACTTTGCAGGAAATGTGAATACTTTAAAACATTAATAAGTAAGAGTGTTTTAAACCTGAGCAAAGGAATCACTCAAGGAATGTGCTGGATCAGTGGAAACCACAAGAGTGGGATGCCCATTATTAGCAAATTTTACAGCAAGTGACGCAGCACAACTTGTTTTTCCTACACCGCCCTTCCCACCTAACAAGTAATACTTTCTCTGAGTCCCAGAAACCATGTCATCAAACCCAGCAACAGCTTCTGCCGGAGCGGCAACTGATCTCACTGACCAAAATTAAGACATAGTATAAATGAAAAAGATTCATTCTGACACACTCAACTTTTCACTGTCAAAAATCCCATAATAACATCACAAACTTCTCTTTCTAAATTATACTTCTAAACTTGTGAGGCACTTAGAATAAAACAAGCCCTAACGCCTAAACAGGGACAAATAAATTCCATGAACAATTACATTTATAGTAAACTCATCAAGAACTTACTCATTTTAGAGAAAACAAGAGGGGGAGAGAAATGAAGTCTCAATTTTCTGATATTATTTCTAAACAATATAGGGCTTGGTTGAGAGAAGACATTATCGGTTGGGTCTCATTATAACAAAAACTAAAGATTCAAACTTCTTTCATTTTCAATAATTGTCAGGAACCAAAGCAAAATTTTATACATAGAAGAAACCCAAACATGAACTACCGATCAACCAGTATATTAGGTGCCTACTAATAGTCCAAGAAATTTAACCCCAGTATAATTTTCACCTGTATAGGAAGTGGATGGTTTCACAGCAAGAGAGAGAAATTTCACAAAAAGGGGTCAAATCAACAGAAATTTCACAGAAGGGGGAAAAATTGATAATGAGTCTTCTTCCTAAAGCATATTTTTCAATAGTAAACATTTTGTTTCCGTCATTCACAATTCTTACACACTACACAGTTGATTGACTCCAACTTATTGGTTAAAGAAAAGCAAGTTCTTAGCCATGATCTCCTCTGTTTCCTTCAATTAGAGCCAAATATACAAACAGACTCCAGTACATATAATATACCAAAGTGCAAGTGCTTTGAGCGGAAACTTTCAACCCCAACCTCCACTCATTCCAATACGATTCTGCAATGAGTTATATTTGCGGCTAGTGGAAACCTTACCACGCGTCTTCTCTTCTGCCAGCTTTGGCACATATTCAACAGCAAAATATTACTAAAAACCCATTTTTCTCATAGCCGAAAAAAAACATAAAGAAAATCTCCTTATTCTCACTAATTCCCACTTCAATTTCAGTCATTTATCCAATACATTTTCTTCTCTACCAAGCTAAACCAGTTGCTCTAAAGAATAACCAATAAAATTACAACCATGTCGCTACTGCTCCAAACCACACGAGTTCAATGCCCATTAAAATCATCAATTAAGAAGAAAATCAATCCGAAAAGTCAAAGCAACTAGCTAAAATCACAGACAAGTTTCAATTATGACTCAAAAAATATAATCTAATCTATAAAAAAATAAAATTCAGACCCACATGATAAATAACAGTCGATATTGAAGAAAGGCACTACCTTGGAATTGGAACAATTTTCCCGGTGGTTTTCTGGCGGTGGAAAGTGAGCTGAAGCTGAAGCATTTGGTAAGAGAGGGAGGCCTGAGGCTTTTGGGGGCATAAGAGAGCAAACCCACCATGGTAATGGAGTTTCTGGTAGTCAAGTTGTGAAGAATAGGTGAAAAAGTGGAGGGAATACACGTACTGCTCGCCATGGTTTCTGGTAAGGGAGAGAATTTCAGTTTGAGTGTTGCTTCGGTCGGTTGGCATTTATATAAGCTCAGACTCGGTACCCATATGGAGCTCAAGTACTTGACCCGTTATCCGTAACCACTTTTATATTTGGAAATAATATATCGAGAGTGATTTTATTTAATTTAGACAATAAAAACTATTATTTTTTAACACAAACGATATCGAGAAAACGGATAAGCAAAACTCAATTCCGTCTCATAACCACTTGTGCAGCAAACTCCTTGGAATAAAAACTAATCTCCAAGCCATTCAACTAAAATGACAAGGGTGATATTCACTGTTGTTTTCATGAGTATTGAAGCAATTTTTGTTTTTCAAATTTGAACAGAAATTGCCATTTAAATCAAACAACCAACAAGTTAACGCGTTTTCTATTCATCAAATTAAGTCGAATACCGAAAATGGAAGCACCAAGCATAGATCACCTTGTTAATCTTCATTAAACACAGAAAAAAGATTTGTAAGTGAAACTTGACATTGCCAAATCAAACTAAGGTTCAACTTTTGTACATAACTTTAAAATGTTTATATGAATGCTACATTATAATAGCTGAAGTTCAATCATTTCAAACTTTCTTTCCGGCTAAATCTTCAACAGTCAGATTCAGTGTATCAGCAGAACCTTTTTTCACCTCCTCCCCGCGGGCAGCCAGAAAGTCCTCGATGGTTCCAGGTGCTCCAAAGTACCCAAGATGATCAGCAATCAGGTGGAGATTATCACACCTGCCACAACGCGCTACCACCACACCACTCTCGTATGATTCTCGACTGCACGTCTTCATAGATCTTGTTTCACAGACCTTGCAAGTAAAAAGCATGGCAAGGTCATGCCTTGGGGATGTTTTCAAGTTGGCAGCGGCAGAAAAATTGACATCAGAACTGTCGATAGCATTTGAGAGGGACGGAGAGTTATTCGAGTCACAATTAGGCTTCAAACCGCCATCTCCATGATCTGCCAAACCCTCATTAACTAGATTGGTTGCATTTGTTTGCGTCTGAAAATCCCTTTTGTCAAATCCATATTTCCAGAGTACAGAACTCACAGAAGGAACAAATTGCTCTGCAACAACAATTTGCATAAAGAAAAACAAAAGTTAATCAAAATTGTATACCCAACAAGTTCTTCAGCACAAAGGGAGAGGCGAAGGAGGACTGTCATGGAAATAGGTCAACAAAAGGAACTTCCAACTTTCTCTTCTTTTTATTAAAATGTTCAGTCACAAAATTCACAACATACTCACAGTCTTCTGTATCTAAATTGATGAGTTTCACATACTATGGGTGCCCATGTCTCTGTTTTTTGAAGGTCAACAAGCAAATAACACCAATATCCTAAAACCATGAATAGATTAACAAACAATAAATAAACCATCTAATACTTAAATGCAATCTGTGAACTCTATTTCTCAAACTGTTCTGCCAAATTTTCAAGTGTTCCATGTTACAGATATTGTGGGAGTACATTCACCTCAGGAAATTTTCCTCCTAATCCTAAGCCGGCATCTAAAAATAACACTCATCCTATGAGGAAATTAGAGAAAGAACCACCAGTGGATGAACATGAACATTGCAGAGTTCCTAAATTAATGCCCTTCAAGTTATAATCTCTTATACCAGTTAGCCCAATTGTAAATAGATCTCATAAAGATGATAAATTTTCTTCATATAGACCAAAATATAGCAAGGTGGAGGCTTTTTCTAGCCTGATCAATTTTTGGATGTGTAATGGCAATCAAATTTCATATTTTTCGTTGATGAAAACAAAACCCCACCAAAATCAACTAAGAAACCCCAATTTCGCAAACATGATTTCTTGGGTTTTTGAGAGGGCAATAGAGAGTGAGGGCTAACCTTTGAAGAGTTTGGCGTGCTGCTGCTGATTGCTGAGGAAGAGTGAGCCTATACGCCTCTGCAACATCCGAGCAGCCATGGGCGATTTCTCAAGCTTTGGCGGTTCAATGTCGGTTTAAGTCAAGTGAGCGGTAATAATAGACGATATTCACCAACAGAGAATGGGATGCCCTCAAGTTTTTTTTTTTTTTTAATTGATTGGGGTGCCCTCCAAGTTTTGTCCTTAATTAATTAAAAAGGCTACTACTAGATTAAATATTCTCTAAACTTATCTTTTATATATACATACATGTGCCAATTGGTTTTCTTTCTTCTTTTTTATTTTATTTTTAAAATTAAGAAAAGATAACATGGGTAGTTATGTTCCATAAAAGTAAGAACTATTATTTGATTTTGTTTTTAATTTTAATTTTTTTAATATGAAAACTGTGAATTTACCATATTATCCTTATTTAATTAATAATTTCAATTCTTAATGTTCGAATTAATCAAGGGTATTTTCTGGTATTTTGAATGTTTCACAATTTTCTGCCTTTTGTTTTATATATGGATATATGGATATATATATATATATTCAGACCCAAAAAAAAATCTAATATATAAGGATCTCTCAAATAAGCTTATTTAAGAGACACCCTATTTTACTAATTCAAATCATTTATTTTGTAAATATTCATTCAAAGATCATCTATATAAAAAATCATTTGAATCTAATATCATTTGACCACTCAATTGAATTATTGAAATTTTAATATTTTCTTAAAATGCAATGTTCATTGATTTTGTAGGACACAATTGGATGTCGAAACGGTTTTCGATTTGTCTAATTTTTTGCAATTATGATCTATGAATGTACACTTAAAATATATATGGTTTGGATTGTTGAAAAAAAAAATCTATAGGAGACCCTTAAAGATGTCTCTCAAATCATTTTTATTTGAGGGATCCCTCAATAAATGAGACTGATATATGTAGTCCCTTTTCTTTTCTTTATTTTTTTTTATGAAATTGATAGATATGTGTAGTGGGTTTTTATGGATTAGGGTTTGTTATGAATTAGGATTTATTGATAGTGATATTATTATTTTGATTAGAGTTTATAAATTAATTGATTGATATTTATATTGGATTAGATTTTAAAATTGATTGATATTTTTATGGTCTATTTTTTTTATTGATATTGTTATGTTGATAATGTGTTTGGAATTTTTTTTGTTAGTAGTGGGTTATTGATATTTTCATATTCATATGATAATTTGGATAAAAATTATTGATTGATTGAATTAATTGATGTGTAGAAATATGGAACAATATTTTAAGAGAAAATTGTCTACGGCTAGCTTGTATTGTTAGTTTTACCATGAATTATGAATGGAAGTATTATCTTTATGTTTTTTAGAGTAAGGGTTTAGGGTTTAGAGTAATTTTCTTTTTGGAGACTTTTACATTATGACCTTATGAGGTCAAAATCCTGCGTCTATCATTGCTTATAGGGCCCACTCCGCATTGTTTCATTAATCCAAACCGTCTATTTTGTAGATATTCATTCAAAGACCATCTCTACAAAATAGACGTCTTAATGAAGCACCGTATTTGTCTATTTTATTACTCGCAATTAGATGTGTTAATGATTTTTAATTTGTTTGAGTTTTTGTAAGAATGATCTATGAATGAAGACTTGAAAAATATATGATTTGGATTTCTGAGAAAAAAATTCATATAGTACTCTAAAATGTGTCCCTCAAATATTATTTGATGAATTCCTCAATGGAAGAGGACTGTAATAAATAAATATATATATATATATATTCTCTAGGCTAATATTGTTATTTCAAAATCATAAGCCTAATATTCATACAGAAATATAACAATTTTCTCGACAAAAAAAGAAAAAGAAAAAGAAGAATGTTACTCTTACCACATTTGTATACCACATTCTCATACCACCTTATATGACAAATGAGATGGACAACTACATCAATTTATTTAACATTTTCTTTCTTTTATGATTTATTAACACTTTAAAAAAAATGTTAATTATTATTATTATTTTTTTTTATAAAGTTAATTAAACTTTCTTTATTAAATACACTTTATTGATTTAATTGATGTGGCATATGATATGGACATGTCACATCATGTGGTATAAAAATATGGGATTAAAATGTTAAAAATAAATCATCTACTTAACTTAAAAAATAAATCTCTTTCATTACCCTAATTAACTCACTCAACAAGCATCAAATCAATTATACAACCTAAAAGATCAAAAAGCCCAAAATCCAAAACAAATTTGAACCCGAAAAACCAATAGAAATATCACCAGGGGCCCAATGAAATTCACATGTCAACAATAGGCGCGCCCATTTTCTCAGCCCAACTCTAAGACTCCGAAAACGGCTTCGATACCAAACCCGCAACCCGACCCATGTCCTTCAACCGCCGATCGACCCACCACCGCCGCCGCTACTCACCGCCTCCCTCTCACCCTCATTTTCCCTCTCCACCGACGCCATTTCCATCAATCATGTACTTAAATGGCTAGCTTATGGCTCCTCCCCATGAAATCAGCTCCAACAGCACAACCCCAGAGCGAGCCTATGCGCCTCCGCAACATCCGAGCTGCCGTGCTCGATTTCTTAAGCTTTGGCGGTTCGAAGTCGGTTGTGTAAACGGTATTACGTAGACAATACCAACAGACTAATATAGTCATTTGAAAATCAAAAGCCTAATATAAATATTCAACCGGAAACACAATCTGCTTGTATTAGGCTTCTGGCGTGCGCTGAATAATGAAGTGGCAAACTCATGACATATGCTTGAATTTGAATAGCAAGCAGCATAATAACTTAAACAAGTTTTCTGTCAGCCGCAGCCATTAATTATTAATTATTATCCATTTTGCAGAGTCAAAATGGAATTTGTATTGTTGCTCCTAATTTAAGGAGCTATATTTTTCCACAAGTACCCAGGACCGTAGACTTGACTGACTGTAGCCATCTCCTCCACTGTTGTCAACCTGTTTGCGTAGTTTTTAAAAGTTTAGACTCATCTCAGAGTCAGGACATATCGATGTATTTTTGAGGACTTACAAAGGGAATCTTAGCTTATTTTTCAGTTTTTTACAGATTACACACTAAGCACTCTTCCCAGAATCCAAAATTAATCATTCTAAATTAACCAAACTCTTAACCTATTCTAATCTTAATCCTCCTTTCCTTCCCGCCGATACACCGACATTTCAAGAGAAGAATGATGCTAACAAAAGTGGGTTAGCCTGTTTAGAGCTACAAATTATGTCAACTAAACTTTAAAAAAAAAACCATTTCAAGATAAAAGTTGTGTAACTTTCAGTCAGTTCTTTGAGCTTAATGAATGATTTTTGTATGTGAAATTATTCACAGCATCAAATCAAATATACAAGTATACAGCATCCCCCAATCCCACTTCACAATTTGTGATGAACCTAAAAAGATCAAAAAACCCAAAACTCCAAAACAAAATTGAACCCGAAAAACCAATAGCATTATCATCGGGGGCCAAATGTAACTGACATGTCAACAGGCACCCCCATTTTCTCAGCCCAACCCTGCGACTCCAAAAACAGCTTCGATACCAAATCCGCAGCCCGACCCATATCCGGTCGCCTGTCCGGATCCTCCGCCACGCACTCCAACGCCAACATCACCATCTTCTCCGCCACGTCCATCGGAAACGAGTCCTTCAACCTCCGATCGACCCACCTCCTCACCCCGCCGCAGCCGATCCTTATCGCCTCTCTCGCCGTCTCGATCGCACTCACCCTCCTATACACTCCGTCTCCGCCATTTTCATCCATCATGTACTTCAATGGCTCCTCCCCTGAAATCAGCTCCAGCAGCACAACCCCGAAGGCATAGACATCGCACTTCTGCGTCACGGTCCCGCTGAGCTGAAACTCGGGAGCCATGTACCCTCTGGTGCCCTCCACCTTCGTCGACCGAGCGTGGCTCTCGCCGCAGAGCTCCGCGGTGCCGAAATGGCAGATCTTGGCGTTGAGCACGACTTGTTCCTGGTCGGAGACGATGATGCTGGAGCTTTTGATGTGGTTGTGGACGAAGGTGGAGTTGAGGCCTAAGCTGTGGTGGATGTAATCGAGGCCGTGGGCGAGGTCGGTGGCGACCTGCATCCGGGAGAGCCACGTGGGCAAAACGGTGTAATTCGGGTTCTTAGGGTTCCGTAGGCAATCGGCGAGGGTGGCGCCGGCGACGAATTCGTAGACGAGGTAGACGTAGCCGCTGGAGAGGGAGGCGCCGAGGAGCTTGATGATGCTGGTGTGGTTGGATTTGGAGATTTGGGCGAGGCGGTGTTGGAGGTCGGCGAGGGAGATGGGGAGGCGGGACTTGCGCTGGAAAACGACGGCGTCTTTGCCGCGGAGGGAGCAGCGCCAGGAGGAGGATGTGGAGGAGGAGGAGAGGCGGCGGGCGAGGAAGTTTGCGGTGGAGGAGCGGATTTCAGACATGTCGTAGATGATGGGATTTTCGGGGAGGGAAGATTTGAGGGACTTGAGGGAGCCGATGGAGGAGGTGGATGACTTGGAGGAGAAGTTGTAGCTGGAGTTGTTCCCGTTGGCGCTGAAAGTGGTGGAGTATGGGTCTGCTGCAGGAAAGGAGGAGGAGGATTTTGGGGTTTGGGATTTGTTGGGGCTCTTGGGCTCCATCGCCTGCGTGCTCTTTTTGGTCCAGCACATCAGGACGAAGGGGTTGAAGGTGGCGGTGGTGGTGGCGGCGGCAACGGCGTCATTTCATAGCAGAATTGGGATTTTCGGATTAAATTTTGCGCTGGTTTTGTTCAAATGTATAAAAATAGGATGTGATGAATAAATTAGAGAGTATATGAGTTGCGTCCTTGTCAATATCTTGTGATCACCTGACTAAGCGGTAGAAGAAGAAGAAGTAGATGACCAACCACTTTGTAATTCCGTGATATTTTATTATTGATTGGTAAAAAAAATTAGATATTATAAATTATTCGAAACTACAAGCTTACTTTATGCACATGTGACCGATTGAGAGACGACAATAATTTTTAGGCTTTTTATCATAAAACGTCCCTGGCATTTGTGTTCTGAGAAGACGGCCAGCAGCTACACAACATGTCAGCCGCTTCGATACGAAAGAAGGCTACGGAGTTTGGGGCAAAGGTCAACGCCGTTGAAACTGCTCACCGCTCACCAATATCGCAATCGAAAACGACGTCGAGCCTGGTGAATTCCCAAAAATAAAGGTTTTTTAGGTTTTAGACATAAAAAAAATTTCACTTTTGGAAAAAGCCAAAGCTTTTTCAAAAAAGACAAAAAAACCGCTCAACTTTCAAATCAAAGACATGCAAATGTATTGGATTCCTTATGAAATCTAAAAATAAATAAGGGCATTTTTGTCCATTTTTGCTTCTTTTAAAATTTTTCTCTCTCCTTTTGCTTTTTCTAAAATGTCCCAATCCCAACCCAGAAAACTCTGATGAAAATTAATTGAAAAAAAAGGAGGAAGAAAGAGAGAAAGGAAGGAAATAAAATATTTTATAATTTTGAATTGATTTGACGATTATATTCATGGATTTAAAAGTTTTTTTGATAGATGGACTATTTAAGAGCACCTATATTAACGTTAAAGACCATGAGTGATACAAATAAACTTTAAAGATGCAATCTAATAGTTTCGCAAACGTTAAGTACGTTTTGTGATAAAAAGTCTAATCTTTATAATAAAGAAAGATGTTGGCATATGGTTGGGCTTATGATGGCCTTTTTTTAATCTTCCTAATTATTGGCTCTCCTATCCAACAAAACAAAAATTATTAGTTCTCCTATATATTCGCAATATTATTAATAATTAATAATTTAACGGATTATGCAAACAACCCTAACTTACGTTGAACTAACATTTAGTTTAGTGATACTTACCTTAACTTTAAGGTCTCAAACTTGACTCGCATAAATACTCATGACGATATATATTGTTGATCAGTTTAATAATTTGGTTTTTTTTTAAATTACAAAAGACGGTAGTATTTTTTTTTAAGAGCAACAAAACAAATACAAATAAGAGAAGTTAAAACTAAGATTAAAGAAGGGGTGTGTTTATAAAATAAAATAAAAATACTATGTGGTCAAAAATTTGTAGGGGGCGATGACGATGAGCATATTTTGAGAGGACTCTTCAACTACGCAACGTGGCGATATCTTATGTGACGCGGCTCAAGTCTAGCATGCCACATAGCAGCAGGCAAAGAGGTTTTATTTATGTTGGTCAAATCCTAAATTCATTATTATGTCCGCGGGTGGGATGAAATAATTTGATGAACAAGCACCACATTTGGGTCAAGACTCAAGAATGAGAACAATAAGCAGATTTTTCATAACTATTTTTATTATTCTCTAATTTATAATAAAAAAAGGCAGAAGAAACTGACCTTCACCACACCGTTGCCAGTGCCACATAATTATTAAGAGGAGGAATACTAGAATCGTGTTTGCGTAGCTGAAATATGTATTAAATATGTAAAAAAACAAAAGAAGAAAAAAAAAATTAAAGATTTATAGCTTAAGTGATTAGAAGCATTTTTGATCGTCCGCTTTTATCCTAAAAATAAAAAAAGAATTGACTTGCCAACATAAAAGAAAGAAGAGGATTGATAGATAGATAACATAAAATAAAAGATCTGTTTTACTCAGATATTCTTTCGACCATTATAATTTTCACAATATATCCCAGCAAGAGCGCAAAGGGTGGGAAGAAATATCCCATAAGCTTTGGCGTCCACCACACGAGCCAAAATCATGGGCCTAAATTGCAACATAATACGCGGAGAAACGAGGAAAATAAGAAAAGAGACAATCTAGGCCTAGGGCTAACCATCCACGTTTTCTTCCATTTCCTTTCCTGAGGTCTAAACCCGAAGAAAAAGGCATGGAAATTACCTAAGCTAGATCTAGAGCTAGAGCTAGGCGTTAGCATAAGCACTGAGAGCATCACCAGTGAGCCTGCAAATCCTCCACTCCCGCAACATCTTAGCTCCCATTTCCTCATAAAACCTGATGGCATTCACATTCCAGTCAAGCACAAGCCAATCCAATTTCCCATACCCCACCTTTACAGCCTGCTTAGCCACAGATGAAAGCAGCATCTTCCCAAGCCCTTTCCTCCTATAGCATTGCCTCACAAACAGGTCCTCTATGTAAACCCAGGATTCGCCAGTTCCGCAGAGGGTAGGAAGAAATATCCCATAGACTTCTTTGACGTCGGCAACACGAGCCAAAATGAAAAAAAGGGCAAAAAAGGGAGGGGGCGGTGGGAGAAAGTTTCTCTTTTCTTTCCGGTGATCAAAGTTTGGGCCCCTCTTCTTCACTATTTTCCCTTTTTCTGGAATGAAGTTTGGGTCTTTTCACTTACTTTGATCCTCACGAAAGAAGAAGAGAATTCTCAAGAACGTTCTAGCTACTAATAAAGGAATATTAGAAGTCCAAATATGAGAATTTTCATTTATGGCTCGATTTATGGCAAAAAGGCAAAATCAACAACAACAAAAAACCACACAGAAACGAAAGAGCAAGGCAATTAAAAAACACAGTAGAACAAATCAAACAACAATGGCATATTTCAGAGATGTAAAGGTGTAGCTGTGACATTGCTAGGACTAGAAGAAACAACAAGGGTTCTACAAGACTGCCTTCTCAGTCATAATCTTCCTAGCCCACACACACATTTCTATCTCAAAACAAACAGACAAGAAGAAGAAAGAAAATACACAAGAAGGAACAATCTGAGGCGGGCTAGCCTTAAACATTTTCTTCCATTTCATTTCATTTCCTGAATTCTAAATCCAACGAAAAAGTTATGGAAATTACCTAAGCTAGAGCTAGAGCTGGGCATTAACATAAGCATTGAGAGCATCACCAGTGAGCCTGCAAATCCTCCACTCCTGCAAGATCTTAGCACCCATTTCCTCATAAAACCTGATAGCATTCACGTTCCAGTCAAGCACAACCCACTCCACTCTCCCATACCCCATCTTCACAGCCTGCTTAGCCACAGCTGAAAGGAGCATCTTCCCAAGCCCTTTCCTCCTGTAACACTCCCTCACAAACAGGTCCTCTATGTAAAACCCAGGCTTCGCCAGAAAAGTCGAGTAGTTCGGGAAAAACAACACGAACCCAGCAACGCAGGCATCGCCGCCAAGAACCCCACCGTTGGATCTGAACAAATCGCGGTCTGGGTCGTTAATCGGAAGGTCAAGATTGACGACTTTGGTGATGGGCGGGTAGGCTGGGTTGTTGTACTGAAGGTGTTCGACGAAAGGCGTGTGCGAGACTTCGAGGACGAAGATGGTGAAGGACTGGAAGGGTGGGGAGGTGAAGAGGGTCGAGGAAAGAGAGGCCTCGGTGGCGATGCACTGGTCGGAGAGGCGTTCGAAGACGGCCATCTGGTGGATGAGCTTGTGGATGTGGGGGACGTCGGTGGGGTGGGCTAAGCGGATTCTGGCGAAGAGTGGGTGGCCCCTTGGGGTCGAGCCTTGGGGCACGTCGTTGGGTGCCTCTGGGGCTGGGCTCGGTGGTGGTGGCGGTGCGGCGGCGGCCATTGTTGGGTTTTGGGTTACGCTTGCGGTTTTCAGATAAAGTTGATTGCGGTTTTCAGAGAGCTTGGGAAAATCGTACTGGTGATGAGTAGTGAGGACTGAGGAGAAGTGGGAACGGTTATTATAATGGAGTTCGTTGTGCGCAGGATTTCAATCCTGCCCGCTAAACGGATCCAACGATTATGCTCCCGCCACGTTAGAACAAATTCGTGTCTTTTAAGATAAGCATCCGAGAGAAAAAGAGAAACTTTGCATAAATGAGGTTTATTTTCTTTATGTGGAATCATCACCACCTGAATTAGAACATTCAATTTGGAATTTTATGTATTTCCATTCATCTTTTACGTTAAATAATTGGGACATTTTTAAAAATGCTGAAGGAGAGAGAAATATTTTTAAAAGAAGCTAAAATGAACAGAAATGCCCTTATTTATTTTTGGATTTATTAGGAAATCCTTTACATTTGCATGTTTTTGATTTGAAAGTTGAGGGGTTTTTCTTTTTTTTGTAGAAAGTTTTGATTTTTTCCAAAAGTAAAAAAAAAAAAATTGTGGCTAAAATCTAAATTTTTTAGATGACACTTTAATTATATCTCACGATTACAATACATGAGAAATCTACTTCAAATTTGAACAACAATCTAATCTTCATCATCGGATTCAATTCAATCTAATGGCAAATTTGAACAGTCCTTGCCTTCCTTTGCCTTTTACAATGACAAACAAATGGAAGTGCTCTTATGTATTGATCGTAAAAATTTCAGTTTATTTCATAATTGTACAAAGTTGGAAAAAATTCAACACCGGTTTTCCCTCTATATAAACACATTGGATGATATTCATTCTCTTCATTTAATCTTGTTTTCTCAAAATAAATTTTTTTGGTACGATGAAATAACAGTTGATCTTGAAATTTGATGTTCCGGTGTTCTCGAGAGGTAGAATAAAAGTTTGCTTCATCATCCACCAATTTCGTGAGTCTTTTTCTAAAAGAGAAAGGGTAAAAGGGAAGTAGGAGTAGACTTTGTTTTCTTTTATTTAATATTTGTTTAGAAGTCTAAGCACAGATTCTTGCATCTATATATTATAATAAGAGAACTTTTTGACAACCTCAACAAAAACTATCAAATATAGATTAATTATATTAAGAGGTGAATAAATTCAACATTTATGAGTAGTATTATATTTGCTCAAATACGGCTTTGTAATTCTTTAATTCTTACCCCTTTTTTTTCTTTCTTGCAACCAATTCATTGATTCCACGTATCTGTTTGGGCTATCCTTTTATATAATAAAAGTGATAATTAGAAAAAGAAAAGAAAAGGAATATTCGAACACAAAACATAATGTGTGTTAATAACTAAATTTCTTAATTACTTGAATTACAAGTCTCTTACTTGAGTGCATAATAATTTTTTATTTGCGTGACAATAACAGCTGCAAAAGTAATTTTATTTTAAAAACTTGGAAAATAAAAAGTAGAAAATGATAAAGGTAAAATGTGGATGTGAGTGGTAATTTAGCGAATGGGATGTAAATAGAATTGAGAATCGTCACTTTCCAAATGCCAAATTAAGACACGGCAATGGCAAATTCTACTCTATATTTTTACCAAAATTAGAAAATTAGACCACTGGAAAAAGCCAACTCACACTCTTCTTCACACTCGAGCCTCCCAAACCGGTGTGGCGCTCTCACCCTCCAAAATCCAAAATCCTCGACTCAAATTTCCAAAATTCTGAAAATTTTCAAATTCCCTCTCTTTTGATTTCAACTCTGAAACTGATGTAAATCTCCATGAGCCAAGCCAGCCGAATCTCCCAAGCTCAGCTTTAATACTGTTGTGTTGAGCTCGGCGGCTAGGGCAGCAGCTGAAGCATGACCGATAAGCCGCCAGAGGCAGCTCCGCCGTCGTCGCCGCCGTTAAAGCCGCTCTCGCTCCAAGACTGGGAGTCATTGATTGACGACTTCCAGCACGGCGGCGCACGGCAACACAAATGGACCTCCGCGCACCCAATCCGCCTCTCCCTCCTCGACCAAGCCCTCTCCTCTCTCGCCAGGCGTGACTTTCCCCTCAAGCTCCACGTCATCACCTTCCTCGAAGAGTTCTGCGACCCGCTCTTCACCACCGCCAGCTCCGGAACCGACATCGTTTCGCTGCGCAAAGTCCTCCACCGTCTGATCGAAACCCTACGCGCCCTGATCCAGACCCCGCCCGATGGGGTCCACATCACCTTCGCGCTCAAGGAGCAAATGATGCTCTCCGTCACCTCCATCGTCGTCTCCCTCGACGACGATGACGGCGTCGTGCCAATCGCCACCGTCGAGGGCTTGGTGGAGCTTCTGTTAACGGTGATCAACCGTCCCAATCACGGCATCGACCGTCAGGCGCGTGCGCTCGCGTGTGAGTGCCTGCGCGAGTTGGAGAAATCTCGCCCCTGCTTGCTTTCCGAAATCGGCGGACATCTATGGAGTCTCTCCCAGAACGAGAGAACTCACGCTGCGCAGAGCTACATTCTCTTGTTCACCACCGTCGTTCACAACATCGTCGTTAGAAATCTCGGCGTTTCGATTCTCAACACGACGGTGCCTCTCGTGCCGTTTAGTGCTCCGCAGAATGGGACGGGTCCGGGCGGGTTGAATCACAAGGAGCTGAGGAGGGCGATGGCGTTTTTGCTAGAGTGGCCGCACGTGTTGACGCCGTGTGCGATGGTTGAGTTCTTGGCTTTGATAATGCCAATCGCGGCGGCATTGGATCTCCAAGCCTCCATGCTTAAGGTGCAATTTTTTGGGATGGTTTATTCGTCCGATCCTATGCTCGCCCATGTCGTTTTGACCATGTACCCGAGGTTCTGGGACGCGTTTGATGGGCAAGAAGGTGACATTGTGAGCAGGCTTGTGTTACTATCCAGAGAATCGCAGCACCACTTGGTTTTTCGATTGCTGGCAGTGCATTGGTTGTTGGGTTTTGGTCAGTTGGTGTTGAAAAGGGAGGCTAAGAAAGTGAATACCATTGTTGATATGGGTTCGAGATTCTATCCGAGTGTGTTCGACCCGCTTGCTTTGAAAGCGATGAAGCTTGACCTGCTTGCCTTTTGCTCGGTTTGTGCTGATGTCTTGAAATCGGAAACTGTTTCGGTTGAGAATGGTGGGGTGGAGGATAAGTTGGTGGTGAAGCTGTTCGAAGATGGACTTGTTTGTGTATCAGCATTCAAATGGTTACCTCCGGGGAGCACTGAGACTGCAGTGGCATTTCGAACTTTGCATAGGTTCTTGATTGGGGCATCATCTCATTCAGACAATGATCCTTCCACCACTAGAAGTCTGATGGACTCCACCACTTTCAGTACCATACAGGTAGTTTTCTCTCTTCCTCAGTTTCCTTGCATATGTTCTACTGTAATAAAAAGACATTTATGTGAAAATTGCTATTTATAGTTGAAGATGTTTGTTGGTTTTGGATAATACATTAGCTCTCCCCTGAGCTTTGAGTTTGAATTGGAATGAATTAAAATCTCAGAAGAATCAATCTTGCTCCTTTGTTCTGCTTATGGATTAGTTGATGTGTTTGGATTCGTCTCAGTGCTTGTATGTGCATATATTGTTTATGAGGAATACAAGGTGGACCAAATTATTGATGTAAGCTGATGTAATAGTGTTTTATGTTTAGCAACTAAGAAATTGCCAGGTCATCTACCACAGTAGTTGATGTCTAAAAATTGGGAGAACTGTTGGTGCTTCTAATAGTATTGATTGTTTATATATTGACTTTAGTTGCAAGGACATTTCTAAATCTCAACTGTGCAATTGCTTTAGTGATCTTTATTTCAGAGGAGAAGTGGGAAAGGTGAGTTCACCTTTATATCTGTGCCATTTTTAATGTCTCCAAATTTCTGTTTCCAGGGGATGCTGGTGGACCTGATGTTGGAGTGTCGGAGATTGGTTCCAGTGGTAGTTGCTTTGACTGATCGCTTGTTGGGTTGTCAAAAGCACCGTTGGTTGGGAGAGCGCCTGCTTCAGACATTTGATCAGCATTTGCTTCCAAAAGTGAAATTGGATTACAACTTGGTTTCCTTCTTTCCAATATTTGATAGAATTGCTGAAAGTGATACAATTCCTCCTCGAGGATTGCTAGAGCTTCTTATTAAGTTCATGGCCTTCCTTGTTGGTAAACATGGCCCATATACAGGACTGAGATCATGGTCTCAGGGAAGCAGAGTTCTTGGCATCTGTCGAACCTTGCTGATGCATCACAATAGCTCTCGATTGTTCCTTAGACTATCTCGCCTTTTGGCATTTACTTGCCTTTACTTTCCTGATTTGGAGGTTCGTGACAATGCAAGGTATGATTAAGAAACTTGCTTCTGCTCTTCGTTCTTTTTTCCTTTCAGATCTTACCTTTTTGTTTGTATGGGCACAATATACAATTTTCATAATATTGTCAATACCCACTATTAGCTTCATCATGGCCTTTTGCAGGATCTACCTTCGAATTTTGATCTGCGTGCCGGGAAAGAAGCTCAGGGACATGCTGAATCTTGGGGAACAACTCGGTATTTCACCATCTTCACATTCCAGTTTCAATGTCCAGGCTCCTCGCTTTTCTCAGAGTCTCAAGAAATCTAGGAATATCTCCTCATATGTCCATTTTGAGCGAGTAATCCCCCTACTAGTCAAACAGTCTTGGTCCTTGTCTTTATCATCTTTGGGTGTTGGAAGCACTGAACCTGGTTACCCTGAAGGCATCAGGGACATTGAACCCATAATAGAGGATAGTGAGATTGATGACAGTAGTAATGCTGAGGACAGTAGTAATGTCCAAATTATTGAAGAAGCTCCTATAATTGATCGACCACAGGAGCCATTGCGTGTAACGGATTCAAAGATTTCAGAGATATTAGGAACATTGAGGAGGCATTTTTCATGCATTCCTGATTTTAGACATATGCCAGGACTTAAGGTTAGACTATCTTGTAGTTTGAGGTTTGAATCTGAACCTTTCAG